GGCTACCAATTTTTCTTCCTCTATCACCTCATCGTCATCACCATCGTCATCGTCATTATCATCATCGGTGTCCTCCCCTCATTCCCACGCCTATAGCTTCCGCTGCTTCTTCCTCTTCTTGTCCTCCTTCGCCTTCCTCAGCCACCCACCCTTGGCGCGATTTGCCATCCTCACGGCCGAATCCCTCGGCAACGGCGTCGGGTGATCCGTGAGGATAAGGTCCCTCGGCTGGTCCCGTCCCTATCAAAGTTAGTATCATAGGGCCGGGAAATCAATTGAAGAGAAGGCAAGAGAAAGGGAAACTAACAAAGATGACGTAGCTTGGCTCCGACCGCATCGGAGGATGCCTCGGCACCGGGTAGATGAAGTTGAGGGTAGCACCCGTGTCTTCCCGCAAAGGCTCTATCACCTTCTTGATGTATTGTGCAATCTTAGAGTTGGGGAGCGTTCCCTCAGCGAGCGTCGTTTCATCGAATGACACCTCGGGCACCATCACATATAGCGGGAGGACGCGCGTCATCAACGGCGCCACCCTCCTCGCGTGGTAAGCCCCGATGATGCCCGACCCCTTTAGGCCGTTCTCCTTTAGGATGTGGATGGCGGCGATGTGATCTTGGATCTTCTTCTTGTTCTTCTCCAGGATGCCCCACTTCCTCCACTATGAGGCCTCTTCGATCAGGCGCCCGGTGAACTCCGGCAGAGGGGCGGCAACGTCATTCTTGAGGTAGAACCACTAGGAGTGCCACCTCTTGTTGGACGTCGAGAGCCGCACGGATGGGTACTCGCCGACCCGATTGTTCTGAAGTTGGATGTCGGCGCACCCCATCGGCATGTGCAGCTCCTGCATGCCGCTTTTCTCCCTATTCTTCTGGAGGTTGACGGCAAAGAAATGTCTCCACAAGTCGAAGTGGGGGCTGATCCCCTGGAATCCATCGCATAGCGCGACGAACGCCGCCATGTGCTAGATCCCGTTGGGATTGAGATGCTGCAGCTCAATCTTGTAGTAGTGCAGTAGCCCCTAAAGAAATTTGTGGGCGGGGGTTGCGAGCCCATGCTTGTTCAAGTGGGCGAACGACACCACGTAGCCATCGGGTGGCGACGGCAAATCCTCATCGTCGGGCAGCAACCACTCCTCGCCCGAGGTCCGCGTGTGGAGAAGACCACGACAGACGAGGCCCTCCATGCGGTGGAAGGTGATGTCGGAACGGATGGATGCGGGCTCAACGACGGCGAAGATGTGGAGGTAGGAAACCTAAACGTTGGCGGCGGCGGCGTGGCTACGGAGGTAGGGATGCAGGCGTGCATATGAAACATGGAGGGCTAGCCCTTTGGTTTTATAGGGGCGACGGGTGCGAGGAAACCAACCATCCGCCTAGATCTCCGTGCCTGCCATGACCTGTCACCACAACTCATTGCGGGGCGTGCGCACACAACCTATGGTCGTCCCTCAGAAAACGCACCAGACGTTTCGCCTTCCTGAACGAGCCAAGACCCCTCATAGGTAAAAGGGATACGGAGCTGAAAAGGCTCCTACGACCCATCTAGGCCCAGCTATTCGAAGGTTGTCCCACTGACGGGTTCGACAACCTCTTCGGGCACCTTTAGAGCAAGGGATGGAAATGGATGGGCCCGCTAGTGGCTAGAACCCTGGCGCACGAGCGCCGTGGGCATCTCGTCCCATGTTCGAGTCTTGGCCACATACGATCCATGGTTTTTCCTCGAAGAAAGGCAGAGAGTCCTCGGGACCGGTCGAACGGACCCGAGAACTATATGGATTGACCGCTGAGAATCTGGAGTCGGTAACCAGTTGACCCAAGCCAGACCCCCGCAAATGGGATGCTGGGGCCCCATTCGGACTAGCCGTTAACAGCTCACCGAGCGCCATGATTCGGCAATAAAGGAAAATCGTGGCATGGCTCGGCCCCTCCGTTTTTATAAAAAAACGCTTGAGGGAAAACAATCACAAAGACGAGCCGACCCTCGATCGGACCCCTGCTACGGGCGAGGGCTCGAGAAAAGTTGGACTCGCAAGGAGGCCGAACGCGTGGTCGTAGAACAACAGACCCCCATAGGGGTCGAAATCAGGAAAGACCTTTTTCGATCCACCAAATCTCACGGCTATACCCCCGAGGGGTCCGATCTTGACGAAAGGGAATCAGCGTCCCCAGGTCACGCCGTGGGCGACAAAAGAAGGCCAAGACCCTCAGAGTCCTCCCGTTCAGAAAAGCCTCCGAAGGAGTATTCTACTCCTCCGCAGCCTTGGGGGCTACTATCAGAGACCAATACTAGGGTACCCGAAGAGGAGGAGCTAATGACCATCAACATCGATTCATCTGAGCAGTCAAGAGCGCGACTACAGCTCCAACACACCCCTAGGTACGTGGGCTCTGCCTCGCTCGACCTCTGGGGGCGGGCTCCGCCTCGCCCGACCCCGAGGCTACGGGCTCCGCCTCGCTCGACCTCCGGGGGCGGGCTCCGCCTCGCCCGACCCCGAGGCCACGGGCTCCGCCTCGCCCGGTCCCGAGGCTGCGTGCTCCGCTTCGCCCGACCTCTAGGGGAGGGCTCCGCCTCACCCGACCCCGAGGCCGTGGGCTCCGCCCCGCCCGACGGGGTCCCATACCGCCGCCAGCCACTCCAAGTCCAAGTGTATGTGCCTGGGTCAAAACTCTGACACCAAGAAAGAGACTGGCCCGCCCCGATGTAACCCATGGCCGTGACGGGCCATACCTGAGGGTTCACATCAAGAACAGCATCGGGCGTGCCGGTGCTGTTCTGCCTAACCATCGTACGAACGCTGATAGGCGCGTCAGTTCATCACGACGTCCGCCGGGACGGAATGAAACGCCATGATCGGCAGACAATGCCTGCGCGTGGTGCCAGTGACGGACAGGGCCGCGACATGGAGCTGCCCCTGTTGACATCTACAGGGTCGGCGAGACCCGCATGAAGGAGAAGAAGGATCCGACGATTCTAAAGGACTTCTTCTCCCTCTCATTCTTCTCTTTTCCTCCGCTGTAACCCGTGCTTTCCCTTAGCCTTTAGAAGGAAAAGCAGGGCGTCCCGATGAGGGGATCGACCCATCGAGGACCGATCGAATCACCCCGAACCGATCAGAACACGAGATAAACACACAAGAACACAACACGAACACACGACTGAGCAGCGATCGAGCTCTCAGCACCCGTTCACTCTTTCTACCTGAGACTTGGGATTATTTCCCTCTCTTGCTCATTTGTCTCCCCTACTGCAAACTTGCAGTGCTAGTAACATGAGTAACAGCAACGAACTGGACGTAGGGACTTTCTGTCCGAACCGGTATAAACCTCGTGTCCTCTAAGCACACCAATCGAGTTAGATGCGCAATATTAGAAATTTAATCATCGGTGATAACTCGAAACACCGACAGTGAGTAATTTTTTAAATGTATAATAGATCTAATAGTTGTTATTAATGATGATATTAGACTTTACCAATTTATCGATATAAGGTGTTGTTTTGCTATTATGAGAATCAAAATTTATCTTTGTTTTGTAGCAATTTCATGAGAATTAATGTTGATGCTCTGTTAGAAACCTCTAATCAGTAATGCTAAGATTGTTTTGATTACATTCACAAACCACTCTTGGGTGTTGTTCTATCTTCTTGGAGAAAAAAATGCTCGTTATTTCAGTGATTAGTTTGGTAACTATACAGCAGGCCCGGTCGAATGATGATGCAGAGCTGGAGGCACTGGCGTAACCAGGGGAGCTAGCAGGGGCCAAGGCCTCCCTATGTTCTCAAACTTTTTTACATACTCTTGCTTGAGCCACAGTAGTAGTAGTTATTTTAAAGAAAATGAGTTGTCAACATCTCATTGTTTTAGCCCCCTTATATCGCATCGTGCAAGCTTGGCTGAAAAATGGCTGGAGGCAATCTGCGTAACTGTTGGGAGCTAGAGGCCAAGGCCCCCTATGTTCTCAAACTTTTTTACATACTGCGGCTTGAGCAACCAGTGGCTGTAGCTATTCTCCAGACCATGAGAACACGAGATACTATCTCCATATCTTTCCTTCATCTTAGCCCCCTCTAATTTTTTTTTTCTGTGGTTCCGCCTCTGGCTGGAGGTCCCATGAGACGAGACATGATAGAGTGCAGCCTCGAAGAAACGTCTGGTGCAAAGCTAGCCCAGGCAGGCGCTCTGGCGATGCTGTGGACTGTGCTGAGACGAAGAATCGGAAGGACCGCCTGGCACAGCCCATGTGAGGCCAGGCAGAGACGGTACGCGAGTAAAAAGATGTTCATTGTTCACGCGCGCGACCGTGGACGGATACAGATCTACAGAGCCACCATGATCGCGTCCGGTATCTCCCACCGGCCATCGCCCATCCATCCCATCCCACGGGAACGCAAGGACAGGAAGCAGCACGAGCCTCCCGCCTGCGCTGCCGCTGCGTCGTGCCATGCCTCAGGTCGCAGCGCCCCGCGGCCAGGCCAGTTTACGCTGCCACGGTCGTGCTGCTGGGGACCATCCCACCTTTGTGTCGCACCATTGGCAGCCTTCTGTTGTGTGCCCCGTCGTGTGTCGCTCGACGTCGACGATTCCCATGGCGGGACGGGATCAGTTTGCTGCGGTCCACGCCGTTGTTGGGCCACAGGAAAGCCTTGCCGCAGAAAAGAGCGCGCATGCCGGCTCGCCCTGGCATTTGGCGAAAGCGCCCGGCTACGTGCCCTCAAATCCATCCATGGGGCGCCCTGCGTCTTTTTAATAATTTTCCCGTCTCGCAGTCACCATCTCTGCCCTCTCTCTTCTCTTCCCCACAAGACACACACCTGACACCACCACCTTTCTCCTGCGTGGTCCGTCTCCTTCCTCCCCCAACCTGTTCTGGTCCGTCCTCAGTTCACCACAGGCCGCTCACATCCATCCATCCATCCATCCATCACACTGCCCCAAGTCGATCTCCCTCCTCTCAGGCCTGCACCGGTCTGTTCCTTCCGGCTGCCGCTGCGGCGTCCCAGGCATGCGCGCCTCTGCTGGTCGTCTACGCCGGCTGCTGGCCCTCGCCGTCCTCTCCGTCGCCCTGTCCGTGGCGACGGCGGCGGTGGCAGGCGGCGACCACAACTTCCAGCGGGACTTCGACGTGGTGTGGGGCGCGGGCAATGCGCGGTTCCGCGACGGCGGGCGGACCGTGGAGCTGTCCCTGGACGAGCGGACGGGGGCGCGGCTGCAGTCCAAGCAGCGCTACCTCTTCGGCAGGTTCGACCTCGAGATGAAGCTCGTCCCCGGCGAGTCCGCCGGCACCATCACCTCCTTCTATGTGAGTCCGTCCGTCCATTCGTGCACTCGATCTCCCTAGTATATCCTGTGCACCATCACCTCCTTCTGGGCTAAGCTAAGATTGGCCGTGCTATGCGTCTCGTTCGAGATGAGCTGAGATTGTACTTCAGTGGTGGGAGTGGGACTCTGGGGCAGCCGCAGCGCTCCTTGTGTCTGACATTTGGCTTTCTGGGAGTGATTTTTGCTCGTGGGGGTGAAAAAATATTACAGCTTTGATCAGGCAAGCAGGTGATGGATGGCCTCGCGCATTTGTTGCACTCGAGAGTTCAGACTTGAGCCTGAACTAAGGGCAAGTTTGGTTGCCAATTTTTTTTGCAAAATGACACGGCAGCGTTTTCGTTGTTATTTGGTAATTAGTATCCAATTATAGTTTAATTAGGCTTAAAAAATTCGTCTAGTGAATTTCGTCTAAACTGTATAATTAATTTTATTTTTTATTTATATTTAATGCTTTATGCATACTTCAAAGATTCGATCTTTGACGTGACGAAAAATCTTAAAAATTTTGGTATTTTAAGAGGAAACTAAACAGGGCCTAAACAAGATCGGCGCTGCGGCTTGGCAGATCGGGTGGTTGCGTGGTTGAGGTTCACCGTTGCCGCGGTGGATTTTTGCACGGCTGGCCGCTGGGGTGCGTGAATGCTGGTAGTAATTGGTGAATTCAATTGGCATTTGTGATGAACAGGGCGAGGTAGCTACTAGCCCAGACAGACAGATGTGTTGCTACAGTTACTGCGTGTACACTACAGTATGAGCACGTCTCCATGCATCATGCTGGTGCTCCTGCTGTGGCTCATCAACTCAAAAGAGCCGTGGATCCCACTACTGGATTTTTTTTTGAAATATATGCCATTACTACTTGCCTGTTCGGTTGAACTTATCGAATAGACCCAGGCCTTGTTTAGATACCCTTAAAATTTTAAGTTTTTTCACTCTCTCTCCATCACATTAATTTTTAGCCGTTTGCATGGAACATTAAATGTAGGTAAAAAAATAACTAATTGCACAGTTTAGTTGGAAATCACGAGATGAATCTTTTGAGCTTAGTTGGTCTACGATTGGACAATATTTACTAAATAAAACGAAAGTGCTACTATTCATCGGATTGAAATTTTTTCCAATCTAAACAAGGCCCCAGTGTACTCGCTAGATACATTCTCCATTTTTCTTTACTACATATACACACACAATACAATTTACAAGCAAAAGTATCCCAGCGTCCGTCGTATATATGTCTAACAAAGCAAAAGCTGTGGCATCGCAGATCTGCACGGGCGGCGCGCGGCACGACGAGGTGGACTTCGAGTTCCTGGGGAACTCGAGCGGGGAGCCGTACCTGCTGCACACCAACATCTTCAGCGACGGGCGAGGGGAGCGGGAGCAGCAGTTCGCGCTGTGGTTCGACCCCACGCGGGGATTCCACACCTACACCATCCTGTGGAACCCGCACAACATCGTGCTCTACATCGACGGCGTCCCGATCCGTGTCTTCGCTAACAACGCCGCGGCGGGGGTGCCGTTCCCGGCGCGGCAGCCGGCGCGGGTGTTCGCCAGCATCTGGGACGCCGAGGACTGGGCCACGCTGGGCGGGCGCGTCAGGACCGATTGGAACAGCGCGCCCTTCGTCGCCATCTACCGCCGGTACAACGTCACCAACGCCTGCGTCTGGGAGGATGGTGCAGGAGGTGGTGGCGGCGGCGGGCGGGCACGGTGCCCGACGGTGTTGACGGCGGTGCCAGGAGGCGGGCCGCGGCGGCGGAGGGCGCCGGCGTGGATGGCGCAGCGGATGGACTGGTGGAGCTGGATGACGCTCAGCTGGGTGCGCATGAACTACATGGTGTACGACTACTGCGCCGACCGGAGGCGATTCCCGCACGAGTTCCCGCCCGAGTGCGCCATCCCCATCGGCAGAGCCTGAGCTCACAGTCATCAGTCGTGCTCGTGCCGTGTAGAGAGATGTCTACTTGTAGTGTTAGCTAGCTAAACAACCTACTGCTGCTGCTGTTTTGTAATCCACACTATTCAGCTTGTTTTTTAAATCGAAATAATATTTTTCTTTTATAATAATTCAGCTAGAACAATATTTTTCAACCAATTTAGTTAAGTTTCAGCAACCCGAACAGGGCCCATTATCGTGTTTGATTTCAGTTTCTAGAGCATGCCGTTTAGATTCGTCGCAAGAACTCGCGGACCGGAGACTCGGTACACGAATGTACTGCGAATAATTTGTGCCTCATTGTTTTTTGAGGAAATTGTGAAGCTTGAATGACTACTGGGCCATGCTAAATGCTGGCATTTGAGTTCAGGTTTCTCTAAAAAAAAATGGACCTGTGGAAAACGAAAAGGCCCTTGTGGGCTGGGCCAGATTCTGTGCTGGGCGCTACTGACAGACAGGCACTTGTTGCGGCATTTCTCTAGCCGGGACTGGAGCCAGGAATTTTAGACTGACAGGCATTTGTCTCGGCATTTCCGTTTTTTTCTTGAAAAAACTGTGTGCAATACCATTGGACATTGTTAGTTGTTCCACGAACTATATAAAAGTATATTATAAGTTTATTATAAAAGTATATTCAACGATTTATCTAATGATACTAATTATGTATTACAAATATTAATATTCTTTTATATATAATTGATCAAAGTTGAAAAAAAATAATTTCTTGGGAAGTGAGAACGACTTCTATTCTGGGACATAGAGAGTATCTATTCGAACCAACATTTTTAAAATTAAAAAAATGAAACGAATATATGTGGCTAGGGTCAGGCAAATGCGTGTGCACAGTAACCATGGTGGCATGTCCTCCTCATGTACACCTCAACCGAGCTGGGACGGATCCACGACATTTCCCCCAACGAAAATAAATTCCGACGGCGCATGCAAAAACCACCCAAAAACTCAAACGTTATCCTCGGCAGCCCGGCCATCCCCTCAAGAATTCAAGACATCGTGGGTTCCTGAGTGATGACTGATGAGTTTCAGCAGGCAGCAGAGGCGCCCAACCCCCGCCGCATGAATATGCCGCCTCCGGTCTGGACGTCTGGTGACCACTACCACAGGTCCAGAACGAAACAGCTGGTTGAGAGATCATCTCATCTCATCTCATATATCATCCGTCACTCAGCCAGCTGCTTCCAGCTCGCGTATACTACTCCGTAGGCTAGCTATCACACCACGACGACAACGTACACACGTCGCTGTCGCGATTGGCGTAGACGATTTGTCATGCGGATCGACTAGAGATATACACATGCACAGGAGGAGAGAATGAGATGGACTTGGACGTGCCGCCGGCTCCGGTTCTTGCGATGCAGCTCTCTTGCTCCATGCATGCATGGTTGGTGCTCGGTCCGGTCATTTACACGGGTAGTACTAGTAGCACACGCATGCATGCGGATATGCTTTAAGTCCTGATGTATGATCTGTGTATCATGATATCATCAGTGCAGTGATGAGCACGACGTGCCGGCCGATCGTAGGCCCGGCCGCCGCCGGCGTGGGCGACCACAATTCCACCACCAACTCTAACGATCGATCGTCGATTATTAGTTCGGTCGTCGGGCGCCTCGGTGCGACGGGATGGGACGGCGGCCTGCGTGCACCAAGCCACTAATGCTTATTGGAAATTTGGAATTGGATGCTGATGTGAAATATATTTGCGAATTGGACTCGTTTCCACCAGTCCGTGCTAGGGCCTAGCGGCAGAGGATTGGACGTGTCGTCTGGCCGGCCGACGGCCCCAACCGGAAAGAGAAAGCAAAGCAGGGGATCGGATCGATGGAACGACGAAGCAGTAGTGCATGCGGGCGCCAATGTGATGATGAGATAACGTCGACGAAGGCGATATCCGGTGAACAGAAAGACAACCGAGACGTCACGGGCGGCGCTATTCCGATCCTGTGTCTCTCGCTCTTCCTTGCACGCCTCATCTCAGACAAGGTGTGGTCTGGTCCCTCTGTGGCTCTCCCTCCACGCATGCGTGCTACATACACTAGCGCTCATGGGAAAGGGCCGTGGTAGATTTACTGTACTCCTACCTCGCTAGCTGAAACAAAACACGGAATATGCGGCAAGTCGCTACGAAGAAATTTCACCGTATCTCTGTCCCGAAAAACTAATCACACTACAAAAAATATAGTACTAAATCTTGTATTGGAGTCATGATATCTCTATTTAGAGTCTCTTTGGCATTGCCCTGGCTACTACAACAACAGTTCCAACTCTAACTCATTTGAAGAAACCACAAATCCTGGTTCCTTATAGCATTTTTTGGGCCATGTCGGGCTCGGGTCGAGCCGAGAAAAAACCCAGTTTTTTCGGGCAAAAAAAACCCTACCCTACTCACAGTCGTCCCACGGGCGACTCATTGTTTTTAGTTAGAGAAAAAATAAAATAAATATTTCAGGTCAGGCTGAGAAAAAAATTCTGAGCAGTTGGGTCTTCGTCCAGGCCTTGTCCACTAAGGCATGTATATGTACGGACTTCATCTCAGTCCGTCGCTCGAAAGCAAAGAAGATAAGATTTTCAATGACAATGGTCCTAGGTCAAAGTTTCTTCAGAGTTAACAAGAGTCATCAAAATAAGTAGGTGTCCACAATGTTGAGTCACTGTCTCTTAAAGCGTTGGGCGTGTATCGCATTGGAGTCTACATCAAGTAGTATTTCTTAATGGACTCCCAACACGATACAAATGTCTACTGTGATAAAAAAATGCTATATCTTGTACTCCCTCTATTTGAAATTGTAATATGTTTTAACTTTTTTAATGCGTATCTTTTGCTATGTACATAGTAAAAATAATCAGAAATACTAAATAAAGAGCGCGCACGCTCTGGCTGTTACGCCGGCACACCTGCCCGCACGGTCTTTCCTCTCCTCCTGCCCGCACGTTCTTTCTTCTCCCCGGCTCTCAACGGCGACATCAACCCGACGGCGTCCTCCCCGCGCCCGCGCCCACTAGCTGCCTACGCTCGTGCCCCACCGCCTCTCCCGTGTGCAGCAATGGCGGATGCGGCAGCGGATTCAGGTTAGGTAGGCCTCCTCCTCCCTCTCCTCTCTCTTGTCCTCCTCCTCCTTCTGGATCTGCTTTCTAGGGTTCTGGAGAGCTCCCCCTTATCTTCTCCAACTCCGGCAGGGTATAGAATGGCCGGCCGGGGGAAGGTAGGTAGTCCAAGCTGTGGGGATGGTCGATGGGTGGTTTTGGGGAGCTGGTGGCGTTAGAGGCGGGGGGGGGGGCAAGAAGGTGGCGCCACGGACGAGCTAGGGTTTCGCTAAAGCTCCATGGTCGAGGCCGCGGAGCTCTGGCGAAACCCTGGTGAAAGCATCTAGGCCCCTAGTTGGGTTTCGGTGATTAATAACGACATGAGATTACTGTGACTAACGTGTGTTTTGCAGAGACAAATTGAATTAGGTCATGGTCATGATGATTGTTTGGGCAATAATGGTTTTCATGCCCCTATCGATGGAAATCATTTCAGTTTTCAAAGGATGGACGACAAGGTTAAGGATGGACTAGTTCTAAGTGTCGTTTGGCGTTGGAGAGACACTTAGAGTAGTTTAGGACTTTGTTTTTCCTTTGACCGTACTATTAAGGGGGTATGAACTATTAGCTTCACCTAGGTGAGTCTAATGGGTTACGTGTGGTGCACACTTGTCAAACTTAGCATTAGGTAGCTCAGGAATAGCCCTAAGTTCGATTGGAGTCAAATTCATTCACAAAGGATTTTGAATTGGAAGTGAATGGAGGGTCAAATGATTGATCGGACGCTGATTTATTGTTGACCGGACTCACAGGTGCTACATCCGGTCAGTGTTCAGCGCGCACAACAGAAGCTGAGGAGAGACCGGATGCTGCGCATTGATTGGGACCGGACACGCTGGTGCCGACCAACTGTAGTAGCTAGGTCTCAATGTTGACGAAGAATCGGACGCTAAACAACGAATGACCGGACGCTGTGTTTGCAGCATCCGGTCAACATCAGTAAGGTTCCAGAGAGGAAATTTGAGGACCGGACACGTCCGATCCAGGAGGATCGGACGCTCCTCTGAATCCAGTCACTCCAACGGCCCTCTCTAACAGGGTGATGCCACGTAGCCGTTGGCTACTGACCGGCACGTCCGGTCACATGGACCTGCACGTCCGGTCACCTCGAAAAATGCTGAGTTAGACCCCAATCGTTATATTTTGAATGGAGGGTATAAATACATATCCTACTCGTCTAATTGAGTTCTCTTGCCCATTTGTTCAGCTGAGAAACATCTTTGGAGTGCAAGGGAGAGCAAGAGCCTAGTGGGGTGATTGAGATTTGATAATCTAAGATTAAGGACCTCATTAGTGCATAGGGAGTAGCAAGTGTGCATTCACCTTTCTTATTAGGCTTGTCTTGGTCAAGTGAGAGTTTGTGCTTGTTACTCTTGGTGATCGCCATCACCTAGATGGCTCAGTGGTGATTGGAAGCTTGGTGATCATCCGACGGAGCTTGTGGATGACTCTAGTCATGATGTGAGTGGTTGTGGGCGATTCATTATGATGGAGTGTCAAAGAATCAGCCCGTAAAGAGCACTTGATCCTTACGCGGATCAAGGAAGAGCTACACCATTGTGCGGGTGCTCCAACGAGGACTAGTGGGGAGTGGCGACTCTCCGATACCTCATAAAAACATCGTCGTGTTCCTCTCTCTCTCTCTTTACTTTGAGCATTTATATTTGAGCAATTCAATTCATGTCTTTACATTCTTAGAATTGTCATGCTAGAGTAGGATCGGAACCTAGGGTGTAAAACTTTTGTATGCGGTAGAACAATAGAAACACTTCTAGGCACAAGAGGATGAAATGGGCTAAGTGTAGGGCTTATTTATTGAAAGAAATCGAGAATTAGCCCAATTCACCCCCCCCTCTTGGGCATCTTGATCCTTTCAATTG